ATTCTTCAATGTTAGCTTTTTGGCCGGTTTGGACCAGGTGGTCTAATATCGAACTGTTGATATTTTTCACCGTACCTTTATTAAGCCACATCGATAGGTGTTCCCGAGAACGAAAAATCAGGTTCCTAGAACCATAAGTCATATTAATATATGTGTAAAACTTGGGCACTGTTGTAGTAAGTAATTCCATATTAGTTTGTTTATTAGATGTATCACACAGTCAAACAGTATTATTTACTGGAACAACAGCCAATATAAATCGCTCCACAAACACAGTTGGTTGAATTGGTAGAAACAATTAGAGGTGGCTAGTCTAGGCAATCATAAGCGGTCGTTTAGAAAACATGACTTGTAGTTTACCAGCATCGAAAATCTTTGAACAACTTTTCTTAACTTCATTATAATAAAGGTTTTTTTGTATTTCCCAGTCAATGAAAAACAAAACGATAGTTTTTACCGACGTTTCGCTATTTAATGCTAATAGCTTTCTCAAAGTATTATTATAATGAATATCATATACCCAATGCCCAAATTTTTTCAAACCGTTTTATTAACTTGTTAGTAATTATTACACTAGTTGCGTCACCCTTGAACTGCAGTCGTATATATAAAGGCTCCTTATTTACAAAAGGAGAATAGTCCTTTTCTGCTTTCTTGATGAACTTTTCTGGATAGCTATTTTCAATTAGGTTGTCAAGTGCGATCCTAGGATCATCTTCAATTATGTCTTCTGAGCATATAGCTCTGACCTTATAGCTGAGGGATCTTCTTAAGTTTCTCTTGTACTGGAGAAGAACAAAGCTATGGAAATTTGTATATTGGACTGTCCATGTACTTTTCTGATGTAAATTGATGGCTTGTTTGGGTATGTGGTCTTGCCTACCTGGATTTCCATCGGAGGCAATACATCTCATTTCCTTTAGTTCTTGTTGTTATAATCATTCAACTAAATCCATGGGTCTCCAAATGTACTCGTGCACATTTTCAATTGATTTGCAGCCTATCGTTGAGCATTGCTGTGGGGCCAAAGAAAAAAAACAGTAGTGGATTATTTTTTCCTTCAGATCTATCATCACTACGTCATATGATGCACTGGGAATGGCTGTTTTACTTGAAACTCCTGGATGAAGAGTAAATATTATGCAATAAACTACACTGAAAATTGTGTATATTGTGTATAATAAAGATATTGTTGTTATTATTGTTTATACTACCATCTGGTTTTCTTGTAAGAAGGACGTCTAGGAAAGCGATTCTATTTCGGGATTCCTCTTCACACGTGAATTTAATGGTTGAATGTACTTCATAGAACTGAGTTATTATTGCGTTCTTGTCCAAATCATTTTCACAAAGAATGAAGGTATCATCCACACATCGGCAATAAAATGAGAATTTTCTGATGAGGTTGTTCAAAGGACCATTTTCTAGTTTGCTTAGAAAGAAATTCGCAAACATGAGACCCAATAGGCGGCTTCAATGGCCCTCCGTCCATTTGTCTGTTAAGTGTGCCGTCAAATTTACATCCATGGTACACCTTAATAACAGTTCTTTTAGGATTTGTGCTGGAACGACAACATTTATCGACTTGTAGTATACTTATGCATGTGGTGAGAGCTGGCTGTTAGCCAAAATTTGTCGACAGTAGTTTACGTCAAAGTTTATGTCCCCTATATTGGTCGTGAGAAAAATGAGGACAGAGGCTTTTAGTAGGCGGATACAGTTAACATATAGATGATCTGACGTTCAAGAAACAGCCACAAAAAGATGCAAGGTCAACTTTCTGTGAGAAACAATCAGTCAGAGGACTGTGTTTTTCTGCTAACAATAATCTATAATATGTACATGAAAATCTATAAATATGTGTTGATTTCCTCAATAAACGATCTGTTCCCTGGCCCTTGTCTTCTGTTGTTACTAGTGTAACAACAGAAGACAAGGGCCAGGCAACAGATCCTTTTATTATGAAAATCAACACGTATTTATACATATTTCAACTACATTATTATAGACAAGCGCAGTCATCTGATTGGTTGTTTAGGTAGACAAACGCAGGCTTCTGATTGGTTGTTTCGGGATTCCTTGACAAATAGAGTTCTCTATCTGCGAATCATATTTTGCCACGTTAACTTTGCTGTGATTGGTTGTTGACTCAGCCTTGTTCATATCTTCTCACGGCCCACATTAGTGACCTAGACCTTAACGTAGATTAGTGCCAACCAATCGGCTAGCAGCCTGCTCTCACCACACTAGTACAGGTACGTTTGTGAATAAAGATGTTATGTCCAAAGATATCATAGTTTTATCCCTGATATTAATATCTTTGTCTGTCTACTAACTCAAATACATCTTTGACGCTGTGTTTCACTATCTGTTCATGTAAAGGTTTAAAAAATAGTCACTAACCACTTACCTAAACCATGGTAGGGTAAATTTTGCATATCAAGCATCGGTCTTAACGGTATTCACGGTTTATGTACTTTAGGCAGGCCGTATGATCCTGGCGTGTATATGTCCGTTGGTCTAAATCTAAACTTTCAAGAAATATACGTTCTTCCCTTAGTTTCTTAAAACGTCTGGTTATTTCGCTGTCTATTCTGTTGTTGAAATCTTTCTTCTCAAGTTTTCGGAACATCTGTATTTCTTTCAATATATCATTCATCTCGTTACTATAGTTACTTCTGTCAAGGAGAACTACGCCTGAAGATTTCATGTCGTCTAACGCGAAAGGTAGGACGCAAACACGTGTGGTTAAAGACAGCTAACCTCTTTGTGTCTTTCACTTTCAAGTGATAAGTTTCACAGTCGTGAAGGGGCATAGAAAGAACTGTAGTGCTGTACACGCATCCTTTCACCAATAATTTAGTATCACGTCTATGCCGGAGATGACGCAGTTTGGCAAATGCCTCATCAGCTTTTTGTGTCCGAGATGAGATTTTGTCAGCAATCACTCTATCAAGGCTGATGCAACTTCCCAAATAAGTAGTTAGTAAACCCGACCATTCCTCTCGTTATCCTTAAACCAGGAATTGGTGCAGACCATTCCTGCAGTATGATTTTGCTTCGACACGGACAAGTCGCATATCAAGCACTGTTGCTCAAGGCGTTCTGAAGACTCCACATTTATTCAGAATCTTCGCCTAGAAGGACTGCATATTCAACGACACCCTTCTTTGGTAACAAGTCAGTCCCCAAGTTTCTGAAGTCGATCAGCATCAAACCCAATATTAAATCAAACTAAATAATAAGGGACATCGATGCAAGAACCTATCAATAACGGTGGTATGGTTCATTCGCTATATCATCCGGATTTTTAGGCAGTTGATCCCGAGCTCAAACCCCGCTTCAGCTACTCCACCCTGGCCAAATGAGTAGCATCACCAGTTTTCGCACTATAAGCATTGCTAGTAGTAGATGAAAAATCTGCGCCGAACAACTGAATCCGAATAACAATAGCTTATAAACTTATTCGAATGGATATCAGTAAAAAGTATGAGCATTGTGGATTAGATCAAATAAAGTATAATTATATTTCAATAGTTTACACATAATGTGCGTAAATGTGACAAAGGAAAATAATTGAATGAAGAATAGTGAAAATATTCTACATTTCGAAGATTAACAGTGTACCACTTGCGCCACTGTGAACAATTTTGAGTCTCCAACAACCGACTTTTTATACACATTCCAGCTAGTCCACACCTGTGACATTGATTAACAATTTATAACTTCATACATTAATGCCAGGCTTTGGCCTGACAAAAATGAGAATTTTTCCAATCTTCTACCAACCGTGTTCATCAGTAATGGCGGTCGCTGAAAATAACGCACTTCAGTCTTTTTAGTCGGTTACCGTTCACCATCCTATTGACTGATCAACCTTTACCAGCCTAAAACTTTACATTTAATATAAACAAAATCAGTGTCTCTTCACATAACTGATTCGCATCTCTACTTCTTCCTCCGGAATGCCGGCGATGACAAAGATAAAAACAAAAAAATTAACCTGCCTTTTATTGTCTTCTGCCGCAATTGACCGATGGGCATCAGGTTAACATACGCATATAGTATTCTAAACAACACATGATCATACTCGCCACCATCATAGGGTCATGTAGCAGTAACGTCTACCTGGACTTTTTAAAGTATCTAGCTTGGTTCGATAAATGAACAGCAGATACATGTAAACAAAATACTTACGTTCGCTTATAAATACAGAACTGATAAATGGACTTAGAACATAAAAATATTATGGTAAGACCAAGTCCTATAAGACCCAAGAAAGTGAAAGGTATTTGAAATATGCTCTGTTTGAATTCAGGCTTGAGTACCACATAGGAAATACCGATTACGAATGACCACAACCGTGTTGGTAGATAGTAATGACTACTATTATTCAGTAATTTTCACACACAGTATGACTTGTGGTGTTTTACCCTGCACTTAAACGAATAATCTAACTGCGAAGCTTTCATGGATATAATTTCACATAAAAACGATGTACAATTTATTATTTTCGACAGTTTATCATTACAGTGCAAATTCACATAGCTAGATACAATTTCGATACCATCAAGAGAATAAACACATGCCACTAGACTTAATATGATGGTATTTGATACTACAGGGAAGGTGAAGAGGGTCTCGGCTGAAAACCAAGTTGATACGAACTGATGCTTCACACTAGTCTGATAGACAGAAAAAAAGGAATCATTTATTCTTAAGCTGAGAGTAGGCAAAATCGCCTGACACTCTTCCCTGCAAGTAAGATTACACCGCTAATACACCATCTAATATCTTGCACACCTCAGCTAATATTCCACGGAGTACACAAATATGAGCGTGAGAAATTAATTCACTTCAAGAATGCTGCCATAAGCAAATGTACTATATTGTATTTTCTTCTAAATTCACTATATATGACTGGTCAGGAAGAAAAAAGTCACTTCCATTTTGGTATAAAATACATTATAGTAGCACCTATTTACAGCTTATTACATTCTTCACTTATCATATTGATGAAACGTTGTGGCTTCTTCTACGATCCCTTCACCCAGGACTTCAATCTAGTAAAACAATTTTAAATAAAAGTTTACATCATTACCTCCTCCATAACTTTTGATGGATAGGAAACTCCATACAACTTTACATTGGTAAAACAATTTGAGAGACATTCCAAACGTTCAGGTTGCCTTTTATCAAAATTCTTCTTTAAAAACATCCGTCTTACACGCCATTCTGTAGGAGTTTCATGTGGCTTTTTCCAACTCTCTAAACTATTCATAATAATAAATCTGAAAAAAAAAATTCTTAAATATACATGCAAAATCGATATTACCATAGCAATAAAAGTAGAAATTGACTGCCTAATTAGTCAAAAATAGTTTTACTCCACTCAATGCGTACTATTCGATATGTGAAAATGTAGCTGTATATTTTAAGCAATTATCCCATAAGTGTTGTCGGCCTCATTGATTACGCTCTGTAAGCAGTGCGATAACTGTAGCATGTTGTACTACAAGATGTTTACCAGAGAGCAGCATACAAACAGTTTAGATTCAGAATTTGTGATACATATTCACTATCGGTAAGCATAAGTACTCAAGACTTTGTTTGAGAAAACATCAAGTTTGTATTAATCCTTTTCTAGTAAATTACTAGCACGAAACCTAGCTCCAAGGCTTCCTGCCGATTGCCTCCAACCATCTAATACCAACAGTATCTGTTTTTGTCTAATCACTTCTTGAACGAGTCGATTGAAGAAAGCTCTGCAAACTAATGCCAAGTTGGCATGTCTCTCAGTGAAACCTATGGTAATCAAGGAGGTCAGTGTTACTACCTCAATCCAAAGAACTCAGGATAATGTGGTTCAGAAAGCTAATACAGACTGCACTTCTGATGATAAGGTTCCCAATGTCATCATAGAAGTCAATCTTTGACGTGAGAGGGGAGAGTTCTCCACAACCCCCAATATAAGTACTGCTAGACGTTCAGAACAGCTGAGAAAACGAAATTAAAGTTAGATCATACTTATTCCCGCTAACATATTAGCAAATGAAGGGCGGTACCCTGTTAGCATTCAATATTTAAATTAATGACTTAGGTGTTAATTTCGAAAGTATAGAGAAAGGTATCTTATTCAATGTTCTTGCTCTTTTTTAGAAATTCTTCGATAAAATGATACTTTTTACAGTTGCGATTCCTTGACTCGATTGCAGATTAGGTCACTACTGAAGTCCAAGGGAACAAGTAGAGACCATATGGGCGAAGTTTAAGAATAGCGTCCCAAAACCTTCAACGCTCAAATGACCTTGAACGCATGCTAGTAGTTGGCTAACGGTTCCTGTCATTATCATAGCTGAAATATCAACCCTATTCATCAAATAAGGAGCAAGTTTCACCCAGATAACACTTTTATTACTGTTTGGACAATGTGTTAACATCTCGTTAGCGTTAGGATAGGGGTTAAGGCGAGTAGCGATTAGGAATAGATTTCTCGTTTATTTCAAGTTCTTTTATTATCCTTATTTCCCTTGTATGTAGTCGCCAATGCTCTTACTGGAACCATAGTAACTAAACCGAGGGCTTAGGAGAGGACTGCACAGCAAGAGAAGAGAGATGAACCATTCCCAAAACAGCACACCTTCAGTCACTTTGGTGAATACATCTACAGAAACTAGTCCAAATTAGCAACTGATACTCTTCATCGCAACTGGAACGTATTTTTAAGTCATATCAGAGAAATATAATCCGTTTAATGTGTTTTCATGCATTTTCTTGTGAATATAAGTCATTTTTTGTGCAAAAATTCCTCATTTTTATGATTGGCTGTCTGAAGGTCACTCGTGCGTTCGCATCCCTTGGGACGCTATTGTTGAACTTTCCCCACGTCAATATCTCATCTAACCTTACTCGTAAAAACTGGTGTGAGAAATGTTAGAGACATTATTAATAAACAATTTCTGGAAACTATAAATTTAAAATAGGTTTAAAAGACATCGAATTCAGCTCACGAATCCAAACAAGCAAGGGAAGATGATATCAGCGTTCAAAAAACCTTGAGAATTCAATATTCCCCCTCCAATATCCAATATCCTGATTACGAGCTAGTATAAACCAGTGATTTCTTTGACCTCGCTTCTTGATTGTGAGGTAGAGGTTCGAGATATTCGGTGAGTTTCTGCGTAGCAAGTCCCGCCACTCGACTGCTTTAGCTCTGGTAGACTCCAAGAGGAGTGGTGCGGGGATTCGTAGTATAGTTTGTAGTATTATTTTTTTGATTACAGCTTGATTTCACACAGTATTTTTGGTACAAGTATGGAATTTTCAGCATGGACATCGGTAGCCCAAATTGTGCAGGCCGACCATAGATATTGGGTGTGCGTCGGCAGGGGATAGAAACTCACACAATGTGCATGGTCGGAGAGAGTCCTAACCACTGTGCCACCGAAGCACACAGTATGTTACGACTGTGTCGCCGCCGTGAATGGAGTTTGACCTAACTCCCGTTGGTCATTCGGTGTAGTCCTAGAAGCAGAACAGCAATAGTAATAATGGTAGGTTGTAGTGTAGATAATATGGGTTGAGATTAGTGGAATAATAAAGGTGACCTAAGGAAAAGATAGAGTGAGAGAAGGCAGTTTGTATGCTTATCCATTGACAGTATGGTTTCAGGTTTTATGAGGATAAGCCATTGAGACACAAACCTTGCATTTCTGCATAAATGTCCAGCTTCCGCTTAAAATCTCCACAGATGGCGCTGTAGTCACGGCCGCCGATAAAGCGTTCCAGAGACGGCAAACTCGAAGCGAAAAGAAATGTGATCGCACTCGAGTCTTTGGTCTCTGGTGTGCTATCCTTAGCGGGTTACCTCGTGGAAGCCTATAATCACTTATTGGCAGGATGCTTTTATTTGGGTTGGCTTGGTCATTTAAGATCTGGTAGACGGTGATGAGGTCTCCCCTGTGCCTACGGTAACTAAGTGTGAAAAGTCCTAATTTCTTTAGTCTTTCCTCGTGTGATTTGTTGCGGAGGCCGATCACCCATTTAGTCGCTCGTCTCTGGACACTTTCTAGAATGTTAGCATCCTTTTTGAGTAGCGGAGGTGCAATGATATTATGCACCTCAAGGTGTGGCCTCACATATGCCTTATATAACCTTAAGAACAGTTCGGGAGTGAGAGCTCCCAGCTGCCTATGCATAAAGTGTAAAGTTGCGTAGGCTTTGGCGACGTCCCTCGCGTAATTTCCACTGGTGTCTATCTTTTCTGTTAGAATAAGACCTAGGTCTCGCTCTGATGGAACACAACTCATGTTCTGGCCACCAAGGGTGTAATTTACACTCTGTGACCTGCCAGAATGAAGTTACACTACTTTGCACTTCTTTAGCTTGAAAGGCATTCCGTTATCCAGAGCCCAGTTTCCCAAAGTTTGCAAGTCAGCCTGCAATCTATCTGAGTCTTCCGATGAGTTAATTGCTCTCCAAATCTTTACGTCGTCAGCGTAAAGAAGCGCAGAGCAGTTTAGTTGGGGGGGGCAGGTCATTGATAAAAATCAAAAACATCAACGGCCCTAGGATAGAACCCTGAGGAACCCCTGATGCCGAGGTGTGCCAAGATGATCGGATGCGGTTGACATTGGTGCAGAATTATCCCTCACCTAAGTAATCTTTCAGCCATGCGGGAAGTGCTCCAGAAACACCCGCCTTGCCTATTTTGTGAGGGAGCAGACCATGGTGAACTGTGTCGAATGCTTTCGCAAAGTTGAGAAAGATCACGTGGGCTGGTATCTTTTCGTCCCAGGATAGTGTCCAATCGTTCCAAACTAGTAGAAGATTCGTCACGCAGAATCTATCCCTCCTGAAACCGTGCTGTGCTTCGTGAAGAAGGTTAGTCCCATCGAAGTATTTTCTCATGTGGTCGTCAATGAGAATTTCCAATATTTTCGAAATCACTGGAAAAAGAGCAACTGGTCTGTAACTGGTCGCATTCTGCCGGTTAACATCCATGAAGATAGGGGATAGGATTGCTCGTTTCCATTCACATGGAAGTTTCCCTACATCAAGGGAGTGGTCACCCACGTCTCGTAAACCGTCAATGGCCAGCTCTTGCTACGCTCGGGCTCACGCTGTTCCTTGAAGTTTTCCAGAAACGCTTAGTAATAACGGACGCAAAAACCAAAACACCGATTGGCCGCTCGAGAATTCTTTATTGTAACACCAACATATAAAAAATAATTCCGCTAAGGTCTGTGAACAAATATTACAATAATAAATCACATGATTACTTCTGACGGTGTTTTACTCTTCTTTCTGAACAGCGACCGATGAGACGATGACTGGCTGATTGATGTCTCCGCGAAAATTGAGGAAGTTGGTTTTGAGCAAACAACCATGAATTGATCGTTCAATCTTCAACTGCATTGACACTCCCCGGCAAAAAGGGGATCCATCCCTTTTTTTTCTTCACGACCAATGCACGTTGACTTGGATGCCATTGCGAGAACCTGGGTCACACGGACAGAGCTGAAATGGAAAATGAAGAATTGTAGGACTTACAGCAGTACGCCTACATTCCTTCTCAGGTTGATGATACAAGTCGAAGTCGTACGGACACAAACAGAATTACCAACAGCTAGATGATAAATGATACCAATTGAGTATATACAATATGAACATATGTACAAAATCACACACCAAGCACACTGGAATGCTCATTGATGCGCTACCCTTTGAAGAATTGTAGGACTTACAGTAGTACGCCTACAACCCTTCTCAGGTTGACGACCTAGTTTGGAAAATCGTCGCAGAGTTCATTTGATGACTTCCCTCTATCAGCTATTTCCTCAAATCTGAACAGTAACACGCTCATGTCATTGTATCCTAGAATATAGATGACGAACAAACACACGACGTATCTGGTCAACCAAGCGTAGAAACAGAGTAATTTACACCAAAGATAATAGCATTCAAACGGTAACTTGAAACTAGAAATGCCTTTATTCATACAAGTCAATTTAACAATTACTCTCTCGTTTACACTTGGCTTATCCTCACTAAACTGACCAATATCTTTCGTCTTTTCAAATGCACTAATACTATCATAGTCCTTGCACAAGATACTTGAGTTGATGGGCGTCTGTTTCATTGTGGATGACAACACCAACGATGACCGATTGATACCGGTTGATGAAATTAGCGGTGGATCAGAAGCTGTTTAGTTGGGCTTTTAGAAGATTGCCTAACTACAAGACCACCACCACTGGTGTCACTTACTATCAGCTCAGGTTTGGCACTACCATCTGATGATAGGTGGGCTACATGCTGATCAGTCACACTGACGGT